GTGTAAGTCACGTGACACACGCTAACAGCTATCCTGGCGACCCGAGATACAACTAGTACTTAAGGGGAGAAAAGAAATGTACTACGTGTCCTGCTTTATATATTTATTTAATTCCATAATACATTTATTTATTTAATACATTTACTCGTAAGCCAAAGGCAAACACATATTCGAAGATTCCAGTCTCTTGACTATTTGATCATTATTATAATACTCTTCGAAAACCATAACTGCATCTAGCTGAATGAATTAACAATGTGATTGACAGAGAAAAAAATGTACATCATATATTTATAACTTTGCCATACTCCCGGCATCTATATTTCATTAAAAGCCCGTACCATTTTTTTTTTATAAAATTTATAAATACTGAGCAAAAAGAGTTGTGTCTTTTGGCCGCTGGGGATTACGACTACACGCTACGAATCTGACAGTTCGTCTATCTAACGTGTAACAGGACGCTAGTGTCACTCTGTAAGACACAGAGAGAGAAAAAAACATGTGTTCGATTGTTTCTGGTACCTTTATCCGAATAAAACATTGTGCCATCGTAATGCATTTGGTACGAGACGAATAGAAACTTCAACATAACCGTAGGCTAAGAAAAAATGTGTATAACTTCCATACTGTGTGAAGTGACCATTTATTTGAATATATTCTAAGAGATATTGGGATTCTGTTTAAAATGGAAGAACAATTTTGTCGACCATTTCACATTCGAATTAGAAGCCCGAGTACATTCAAAACATGGAACTTCATCAGTGTGTCGTAACAAAGACGGCTACCACGCTGTGAGAGCACATAGACTACCGCAGCGTTCTCGATGTATGACGTTTAGAAAAAGATAGGAAAATATTGTATGTAGTTACAACCAAGCATATTTATTGTTTTGAAAACATCGGATCATTGAACGATAACTTGATTTATTGTCATGAGAACTAATTTTCAAATTAGAACTGAGATACTGAGCTAACCGTAATATGTTTATTTACGTAATATGCAACCTTATTTACAAGCGTATTTCGCGACAGTGAAGAGAATCAAAACTAACGTTCACCGTTAAATGACCCTGTGATGTGTTCGTCGGAACGCAATTACCGCAAAGTAACTACATGCTATGACCCTGTGGAATAGTCGTATAGGTGCAATTGTCGCAAAATAAAGGGTTAACTCAGTGATACAGACATGACCCTTTGATGTAGTCGTCGGGAGGTAATTGCCACAACTCGTTAGCTACCTGATATGCTATTGCGATGTGGTCGTCCATCCGTCGTGATACAATAGACCATTTTCCGTTCACTGCGAGAATCACGCGTTATGCGTGAAATCGAACGTAAAAACAGGACAAACAAAGGTCATAGCGTCGTAGTGGCGTCAAACATCGCGTGGGATTCGACAAACGCGAAAGTATTTCGGAGACATTTCCATGCTTAATAATGTGCTGTCCACATTTCATGATAGGCAATTTCGATTAAGTAAGGGTATTCGGAAGCAATATTCCTCTGTCGAAGATCGGCCGGTCAATGTAAGCTACGAAATAAAGAATTCTAGTTCAAAATCAAATCGTTCGATTTTTGCGGCAGACGTTCGACGCGCGTCTTTCATGCATCTCGCGAGATCTCGCAATTGTAGAGAAAATCACCTATTGCCGCACTGTAGGTCGTTAACTACTCCTTGTTTGTTTCGTTATTTAACACATTTAACACGTGACCTGCTTTGATAATTATCGCAACGTACAACCGCTGCCTTAGTTCTAGACGACCAGTTACAGCGTTGTTTAATAAAACTATTTCACAATTTGACGGTTGTGATGAATGTGAAATCACAAATACACTATAACAAGCATTTGACCTCAAATTCGCCCGCAATGCGTCACATTCTATGCCAAATAGCGATAACAATAAAGATGGTGTTTACATGAACTGTATCCGAACTTTATGTGTCACATTATATGTCAAATATCGACAACATTAATGTTGGCGTGCACGTTAACTGAATCCGAACATTATGTGTCACATCATATGTCAAATATTGATAACATTATAGTTGGTGTGCACATAAACTGCTTATGTTACCTATGTGTCACATTCTATGCCAAATATCGACAACATTAGAGTTGGTGTGCACATAAACTGTTTATGCTCTTTATGTGTCACATTATATGGTAAATATCGATAACAGTAGAGTTGATGTGCACATAAACTGTTTATGCTCTCTGTGTGTCACATTATATGGTAAATATCGACAACATTAGAGTTGGCGTGCACATAAACTGTTTATGCTCTTGATGTGTCACATTATATGGTAAATATCGATAACAGTAGAGTCTGTGTGCACATAAACTGTCTATGTTCTCTGTGTCACATTATATGTCAAATTTCGATAACAGTAGAGTCTGTGTGCACATAAACTGTTTATGCTCTCTATGTGTCACATTATATGTCAAATTTCGATAACAGTAAAGTCGCCGTCTGTGTGCATATAAACTGTTTATGCTCTCTGTGTGTCACATTATATGTCAAATATCGATAACAGTAGAGTCTGTGTGCACATAAACTGTCTATGTTCTCTATGTGTCACATTATATGCTAAATATCAACGGCTGCCTCTGACCTCCATTACTGTTAAAGGTTAAAGGTTAAAAGCCGACGTTCCTTATCAGTAAAGACAAATGAAGATTAATCGCTAGTTATGGCACAGTGTGAGCACGGGGTTATGAACTGGTGATTCGTACTGAGCATCTATATACGATAAACAATGTTGATATCGATATCAAGTAAAACTCAAAGTTGCGTGGAATTGTACGAAATGTACCCAAAACAGTGGTTACTCTTGTTAATAACCAAATCAAGAAAATCTTGCTTTCAAGGGCCGAAGTTGCAAAGCGTCGTAAAACTATGAGATCATTACGAGGATACCTCAAAGTATGTACGAAGACGAACAGCGGGAGTATCGACGGACGCGCATCGGAGGTCGATGCGACGGCGTACTGTTTAAATGCTTACTTTAAGGTATTCTCGTAATAACCTTATTATACATCTTTCCCTTTCAAGGATACATCATGGGAATGCTGAAATCCAAAAAGTTTAGAACAAAATCAGCAAACTTCTTTGTGTGGAGTCCGGTCAAACCCTGGCGGCAGCCATGTTTGTTTTTATTATTCGAGAACGCTTACGTACGTAATCATTCTATATTTGGAATTCGCATTTCCTTATATGGTACGATGAAATACCCCGTAAATTACCGGCAAATTACGGCACGATGTAACTTAGGGCATTACGGTGACAGATGTATAATAATATGCAATATTTACAATGCTTGTAAAATACACTGTTTGTTTACACGGAAATGAAACGCGCTGCGCGGTGAGTGCGGCGTATTAGGGTCGTTCTCGGACGTTCGACTTAAAAAAGGAGCGAAGGTTATCACGTTATTTTGTTGATTTAAACACAAGTCATCAACTTGGGGGATTTTTAGCAAGTACGTTTCTCAGATAAAACTGTATAAAAACACTTTTTTTAGAAATATTTTCATAGATATTAATGTTAGGGCTTTATTTCATAAGAATAAATAGTTCTCGTCAGAAATTCATAATAATTTGGGTCACCCACAAGTACCCATTTCATAACTATTTTTCCACCTTATGTACCCCGAACGAAACGAGATATGACGAAACCAATGATAACAAATACAAGAGGCGTTTGACACATGTGACCATACTTTTTTGTCGGTATTTTGTGGGCAACAGCATAAAATAAAACCATGTGGTAAATACCAATCAAAAAAATCCGGGAACCGTTTTAAAAGCACTCAGTTGAAATAGAGGCTCGAGGTCGTGATCAGTATATTATATACTAACAAAAAAAAAATCCAAAAATGTCGGCATACATTTTTCTTCTGTAGACGGTCTCTGCAGACGCACTGTATTAAAACCGCCATCCATTCTAAGGATATCAATTTCCTTCCTCGATTAGGCGTCGATTGAACGGAGCGTGCTTTGATCGATAGCGAACCTATCAATTTGTTAAAGGCACGTCGCCTGGAATATAAGTACGTTTATTCATACGCGCCTATTGCATGTTATTACAACCAAACAATCATTTTGTGCAGTGATTATCCGTATTCTAATAAAAAGTGTCTCTCAGTCTGAGAACACATGTGTCACATCATATAATCCCTCACAGCGATCCTCAGAATGTATAATATTTTACTAAAGATGTAACGTCTTTCGAAATATAACACCAGCGCTTAAAGGTTCGTACTCAGTTCTTCGTCGGATGAGAACGCATTAATTAATTAAGCATGAGGGAGAAGTGCAGTGCACCTTGTCGGCGTTTTTTTTTAAATCCGTTCTCGTGAGACCCGGTTCAACGATTCTGTGTCGTGATTCAAGTAACATCACCGAGCCGTTTTACTGCTAGTACGCGTTGTTAGTAGTAGTTATGAATTTCCGGGTTGCCGTTTAAGAGTTTCCAATAACTATGCAAGACATGAAACGTAATTCATATTGACACGTTCGTGGGTTTATTCGCATACAGTAAATAGTTGGTGTTCGATAGGAACAGTTCAACAATAGGCCATCTATCGTTCTATATTCCATATTTTTTTTAAATAATGCTAAACGAACGCTTATCCTCGCTTACGGCTCAGATTTTTTAGTACACGACTATGATGGTAATCATGCCGGATATTATTTCTGAAAACCACGCATGCGCACCGATATGCATTCATACAAACACATCGATATTTCAAAACTACATGATCACAAAATCCATATTCAATAATTCATTCACGCGCGATTTGCATCGCTCATGGATATGATCGGAAGTTTCATAATTCTGGGGCGTGATCTGTACGTCCCTGGATTCAAAATCTCCCGTGGTCTAATAATCTCCCGTGGTCTAATAATTCTTTTTAAAAAATCGACAGCTTAAATCCCTATCCCTGGTTACCAATAAATACATACAAACATAATAGTTCTGCGTTTTATTATTCTTCAGGTGGGATATAATACAAATCTCCAAAATGCACACAACAACGCTTCTGGTAGTTGCCGTAGCAACGATTGTGTGTATATATGCAGCGCCGTATGACGATTTTTGGAACAAGCAACCAGAACGAAAAACAGACGATAAACGCCAAACGGGAAAAGTCAAGTATAACCAATTCCATCACTTGGGTATAGGCAAGCGAAGAGGTACGTATTCTATTATATTGTGTAGTTCAGCGTGATGTTAACGTGACAATGGCAGTATGGTTACTCATTAGCGCAATAATACTATTTAATTATAAACTCCCTATCGCTAAATATGACATCTCAATTTACAGCATAATTTTATATCAACCCGTATCATCTCCAGAGTCAGATTCTAATTGGGAAATCTAATAATCTGCTGTAATCAATCATAGGTTAACGGAGATTGAAGCAGAGTATATGTTTGTCCAATACAATGTATATGTTATCGAGGAATATGGGTAGGTTTGTTTTTTAGGGGGGGGGGGGCAAATTTCTATTATTTTGTTAAAGACATGATTTAATTTATCGTCGATATTATGTGTGTTATAATATAAAATTATATAATAATAACAGCAGTCAGCTGCACTAAAAATCACCATTCTGTTGAACTTGTTGATTTTTGCTAGATAACGCATCGTTTCTAATGTTGTTAGAAATATTGTTTCCATGACAACATAATTAATATTCATAACATTATTATTATTATTATTATTATTATTATTATTATTATTATTATTATTATTATTATTATTATTATTATTATTATTATTATTATTATTATTATGAATAGCAATGATTGGAATAGTTCATACATAGTGTCTCTAAGCATAAGGTGGCCTGATTAATTATTCATGAAGACGTTCGATTAAAAGAAATAAACAAAAATAGATTAGCGAGAACGTAATCACGTAATTATATGGAACGTTTAAATACTAAAAAGGGTGTTTCTCAGGCAATACACGTCCTAAAAATCCAAAGAAAGAAAAACACTTGAAGTTGAAATTTCTTCAGAGTATGTTTGACTAATTAGTAACGTTTTTGATAACTTACGAAAATTGTGTGAAATTGTCCATTTCCTTAAAAAGCAAGACTATGTCTATGTCATGTCTATTTCAAAGTTTATTTAAAAATGGAGAGTAACAATTCTATGTCAAAAAGCTCTCTTGATTTGCTAGTTGAATTAATTGCCAATTTAAAGTGCAGAGAGTCGTTCAACTATAAATGTGATCACATTCCCCTTACATGCATTTTTGTATTACAACATAGCAAAAACAATACATTACATTGCGTTGTTAATCATAAATCGCCGTTGCTATTGATCAACATTTTCAATTGGGTAAAAACGAAATTTCGTATCTATTCAAATACGTGTTGAACACGTGTTTAAGTTAACATTCACTAAAACAATTACACTACAGCAACACTGACATTACTAGACGAAAAGTGGAGATTCTCTAACAGTAATTATTAATTATTAATATGAGAGAGTTGTTATACTTCTCCACTTGCAGTACAATATATTATTAAGTTACACACGCTGTTTAAGTCGTTTTATATCACTCAACTTAATTACGTACAGCTGTTGTTTTCACAGTCAATAGAAGAAGTTTCCTCGAGACATGGACTTACTGAATATAATATTTAAAACAGTCTTCGTTTATCTATCATTTTCACAAGATTTCTCGAAATTCGTCTGCAATAAATATCCTAGACGTTCCGATTGCTCACGGCCTTAATCGCTATCTATTTTCGAATGGTGTTCCAGCAGTTTTGGGGTATTCATTTTACGATTTGGAATTCGTACCGGAAACTTAATTTTTTTTTAAATTGCTGTGTGCCCTCTCTTAATGCACTTCTCTTCAACGGAATTATAGAAATTGAGAGACATATATTCCGATTTTTCGGTTAAATCAAACTATTTAGATCTTTAGACACGGATGTCCGTAATTTATCACGTAATTTATTTTTGCACTTAAAACGGTGCTCCATTATCTCACATCGTCGCGTTCACTGTTCTACAGATGTAGAGAAGATGTTTGAAGAAATAGACGACATGATTACTGAGAATGGTGCGTTATTCGCCGAGGAGAAACAAGTGACGCGACTTTCTCACTCACTAGTAATTAGTGTTAAGGATCTTTTTAAAAATTCACTTTTCAAATCACTGTAATCTCAAATCTTATCACCATACAAGATATATAACATAATTAAAATAAGAAATCAGAGTAAATATGACGATTCGGGGAGAATTGTTTGTCGGTGCATTCAATCCTGCCCAGACGCCATTTGGCACGCTCGTTGTAAGTCATGATCGTAGCACTTTCGTTTTTATTACGTTAGTTTAATGAAATCAACAGAAGACAATCGTAGATTTATCACAACGAAGTTAATTGAATAGGGCTTCGGAACAACTTAAAAGATCAATATATACTATCAATGTTATTTATCCTGCTAATAAAAACGTGGAAGTGAAGTCTTACACATCAATGAGTGCTGGTTGAAATCAAATTATCGTCGTCATCTTTGCCTTGATTGAAAACATACATTTGACATAATGATGATATAACTGAGATTACTACGTCACAGACAGGGGCTTTACCGTGGCATTATACACGGTAGTGGCTGTGAATACGAGTAATATAAGCCGAGGAATCTCAGGATGAGGGCAGTAAATTGAGTTCAAGGAATCGTGAAATTATAGTCTAATAATATTTCTTTAGTTGGACTGCATAAGAAAAGACTTCAACGTGTCTGCTGAATATGCACATATCGGAATAATAGTATTACTAAATCCAGCTTATGTGTTTCTACGTCTTACAGATAACTCACTGGAAACACCGGAACACAAATCAGACCTAGAGAAACTTCTTTACCGATACTTCTTACAACTTCTTGATAACGAAATGGCACGACAGACGTTGACCCCTGGCCAAGAGTACGTGAACGAATCAGTGGAAGATGACATGGGAGATGGTTTAATTTTGTCGTAGGTGAGTATCAGAGACCTGTCACATTATTGACAGGCGTGATCGGATTTGTTCAAAAAAAAATAGAATCTAATTACTCACGATAACTAGCTACAGGTGACATATGATTCGTATTTCCAAAAAATCACTCACTTTACAGACCGTTTGTCATTTAGAATATAGCAAGAAACGTTACATTATTTTTAGTAGATGGATGATTAGAAATGAAACCAGTATTTATTTTTCCGAATGTACATATCAAATCAAGTCTGTACGGAAATGAGGTTCAAGTAGACGTCTGTATGTGTCACGACGACAAAAACAAAAATGTTAGTCTGCTGGAATTCGATAAAAAAGGGGTCTTATTTGAGTCACGTCGATTGGTACATCCGCAAGCACAAACATCAGGTCGTACATGTTTCATTACCGGTGTGCGCGTGCCTGCGAAACGCCGCATCTTCGTTTTCCGGGAAAAGGATCTGTGAACTCCGTCACTTGCAACAACTAACGTCACACAAAGTCTTCGTCACCAGCCCTCTGTTAGCTCTAATTCGTTGCATATTTTTTCTTTCACTTATAGGTCGTTTAGCTTCAATAGAGACGTGAATTGATGTATATTTTATCTTTTATTTATTTCTCCTTGGCTCTACATGTGTACCGTAATACAGTTTGGACTCCTACACGATATTTGATCTACGGGATGGGATCGAATCACCGTACTTGACTCTTCACTCTTCACCTATCTATGCGTCGAAAAATCAAACACAAATCGTCTAGTAGTTATTTCTGTAGCATACTATTTTTATCATCAAAACATTCTCAGTGAACATTTTATTAAACTCACGAGTATATACAAAAATGATTTTGATGATTATTTAATTAAATCTGTAAAAAGTATATAAATATATATATTAGCAAATCCGATATTAATGTATCGATACTTTAATCACAGACTATCAGTAGCACAATGGTACCATACTACTACTACTACTAATAATAATAATAACAATAATGAGTAATCAATACTAATAATCCTCGCCCCTACTATATATTTCATTTTTTTCAAATTTAGGTCCACGCCCCCATAGATTGTATTATATGATATTTTATTTACTCAGAGTTTCTAGACTGTACGGAATATTATCATAGTAAAATAGATAAGGCTGTTGTTTCTAAGCATGCTTGGTTTGACTCG